GTAGGCCCATCGATTTCAGGGGTGAACATCTCACCATCCGCTTTCATCTTCGTGAGGTATAAATAAATGACTTATCACGAACATGGTTTGAGTTTGACAAAAGGTCAAGCTGATAAACTACAACGGGCGGCTAAGAAAGGTTGTCCGGTCTCCATTCGTTTGTCCCACGCAAACCTGCAAGGCGAACACAAGATGTGGCTCACCACCCGCCAGGTTCAAAAGATCGCCAAGCTCCTACAAAAGGGTACTGGTGGTATGGTCCTAGAGTTGAGTGCGACCCAATTGAAGGAAAACATGCAGAAGGTGGGTGGCTTCCTACCCATGTTGGCGGGGCTGGCAATGAGGACACTCCCCATGTTAGCAAAAACCATTCTACCCGCCTTGGGTGTTGGAGCCTTGAGTGGTCTTGGTGGTGTAGCCGTCAACAAGGCCTTAGGGTCTGGATTATACCTGAAACGTGGTGGATGCGTTTGCACCGTGAAACCTAGTGGCAACGGTCTCTACCTCAAACCTTCAAACGTCCGGATCACATATGGTGATGGACTCTACTTGAAGCGTGGTCAGCAATTCCACGACGGAGCTGGTCTGATCTTAGGTGCTAACAGCCCCTTCAAAAATATTCCCCTCCTCGGTATGCTCCTATAAATAAATGGATGATTTAGATTCTGGATACCGACAGACCAGAGTCGAATGTATGGAAGATCAACTCAACGCGGATATACATAAGTATCAACATACCTTGAAGATCTACAAACGTCTGGACAAAGTTGTATCTGTAGCACTGGGTGTTTGTTCTGTGGGCAGTTTGGTGTTAACCAGCTGCACCATGGGTTCAGCTTTGACCGGTATAGGTATTATAGCCTCCCTTCCCCTAGGATCCCTTGCGTGCTTGAGTGCCACTGGCGTGATGGTACTCACACTAATCTCAAGGCGTATCATGAAAAAGAAGAAAAAACACCGCGACACCTTGCAATTGGCACAGTCCACAAAATTTTTGGTTGAACAATGTATTAGTACTGCTTTGGCTGATGATGAACAAATTGATGATGCTGAGTTTGGGAAAATCACCACCTGCCTCAAAAACTACTACGATGAAAAAGATAAGCTCCGACAACCTTCCACCACTTTTAGTGAGGACCTTAATGCGCATGCGCCGTAAAAAACGTCACACATCATTCCGTTACACTTCACTCCACACATCGTTTCACGATGTGCTCCATTCCGCTTCACTTCATGATGTGCTCCGTTTCAAGCATAAAAAAACTTTTCCAATCCGGCAGAAATGTCGGATCGGAAAAAAATTTTGTACCCCACCCGGCCCATTATTTTTTTTTTTTTGACTTAATTTCTCACAAGGTCGTAAGAGAAGTACTCCTGCTTGGTCTTTTTGCTGACTTTAAAGCCTGTACTTCTCACGAAGGCTCCTACCATGGGTCCTGTCTCTCTGTTCAGTCCACTGCAGGCCCACACCCTATTCGTTTCTCCTTCTCTGTTTTTCAAGGTGAGGATCTTACTCTTTCCAAACTTACCATCTACTTCCACCACTTCCAGGATTTTATAGATCACACCGGTTGAGAGTTCCCTCCATTTCAGGGTTTCCAGGCTCTGATCCTTTGCCTTTTCCTCGAAAACATTATCGTTCATAAAATCGTTGTCTACGATTTGTGGACTTCTGAGTTCCTCCATCTTTTGTACGGAAGCCATATTTTGTTTCTACCCTAGGATTACATCCTTCTAAGGTGTTTGGGTTTTGTGCTAAACTGAAAGACATTCTTGTTTTTACCCTTAGACTAATTGAAACGTATTGCGTTTGCATTTTATGTTTGGGGTTGGGGTTCCTATGCTAGATTTCCCCTTAAAATGGAAAGTGCCGCAGAATCGGCCTATTGACACTACTTAAGGTTTAATTGAGAAATACATAGATATAGGAAGATGTGGTATGAGTGCCAATGAGACAACTATCCATCCAAGTAACAATTTATAAAAGTAAACCATTATAGGTCAAGGTACGGCCTTCAACACGGAGCATTGGCTCACACCGAACAGCAAGCTATAAAGGGCCCCAAAAATTACTAGTGTAAAACCATTCAAACGGGAAAACCAACGGTCTAATCTATATAAAAACGGGAAACGAGAAACACGTATGAACTACATAAACAGACGACAACTACTGTACATCAGATGTACTGATTCAGTGTTTATAATTTGGTATCGAACATCCAATTTATATGATATTCTAGGTATTTGGACAATTTGGCATATCAATGATTGCCTGGGATGCAATGCAATGAACGTGTTTAAATTTATTTGAATATATATCTTTACATCGTGTAGTATATATGCTATAAAGTAAACTCATCATAGATAACAGGCTAAACATTGTGTACGTCAGTCGCGCATTTATAACAAAGACTCACCAGTGACGCTCGAATAAAAAAAAAAGAAAAAAACGCCAAACAAAATCAATAAAGGGATTTTCACTAAATGAAAGCAATACTAACACTTTAAATTAGAGATAGAAGATGACAATACCAGCAGTAATCAGAGAACAGTAGAACACAAACTTAAAGAGGTTTGTATCTATCTCATTACAGATTCCCGGATTGAAGTATCAGTTTTGTTTGTTTTGTCGTAATATAATGATCTAATGTCAGTCTGTTTAGTCGTCAATCTAATCATCTACGGTGTAGACGTTTTAGTAGAGACAGTTACATAATATAATTATCATCAAAATCGTTATTTCAGTCAGAATAAGTCTGTTAGACATCAAACAATCTATTAATACGATTGTTTTATTATATAATTTTAGAAATATTTAATATACAATGATAATGTGTACCATTAAAGTAAATAGTTGTTCTGGTACTAAGAGCACTTTAAAACATTTGAAGGGTCACCACATTGGAAGCATTAATGTCAACATCATACAGATTTCAAGGTTGTTATTTTTCATATGTTTGTCTTTCAGAGCTTGATATTTCAACTTATCGGTCGTCCCACTGTCCATATCACTCTGCTCTGCTCTTAATAAAATTGCATATCACGGCTTTGTGACGTCATATACGTTGACCCGGCCTTAATAACTTTGACCCGGACATATCAGCGACGTCATAATGTTTGAACCGACGTTGATAAGTTTGACCCGAACTTATCAAGTTATCTTACGGTCTACTGGTAAAACAAAGAAAACACTTCCAAAAGACGCAAATACAGCCCGATAAATTGATTATCAGGTTAACGGCATATTGAGATTGTAAAATATCAGCTGCTCGACACAATATGAAGGCTTTTTGATCTCGTTCGCTGCGCTCACTCGACAAAAATCTTCATATTGTGACTCGCAGCTGATATTTTACAATATCAATATGCAGACAACCTGATAATCGGTACTTCTTACAAGGACCAAAGTCAATAAAGCTCGGCAATGTCCGCTGAACTTCGGGAAAGTTCGTAGAGTTTATGCTCTTGCTTTGGCAGTTGAGATCATTCTAGAAACAAGTGTCATGCTGTAAATACATGTTATCGAAATTTCTTACTGCTTCTACTGTACCGTCCTTCGTGTAGACAGAACTTCGGTACTATCGTGGATTTAAATCGTACATTTTTAGTACAAAGATAATTAAACAGAGACTGAAAAGACCGTATGTAAGTTTAATCTCGGGCAGTTTTCCCTGTTCCGTTGCGACTTTTTAAACAATTGACCTCCCGCACTTTTTGCATCCTGTAATACCTTTCAAACTAACATAAGGAACAACCTATTATTGCTGTAATTAATTGCTTCAGACAATAGCACTAAACATTCTCATGTGTTGTAGTTTTCGAAGAAAAACATGCCTGAAAATCAACAATAAAGGACTATTTACTATCAAATACTAGTAGTTTTATCTGGGTACAATATTGCTTTTAAAATTCTCATTACAGAAAAATATTAACCCTTTTCATCTTTAAGTATAGAATGAAAATCTTATATTCGGACAATAAATCACGTGTATAATGTTTGACAAAGAGAGGCGAAAGCTCTAATTACAAGTGTTTGATTGTCATTTTATTTCTCTATTTATATGCGTTTAGTTTTTAAAATTGTTTGTAAATACTGCAATTATGTATAAACGCTAACTTTGCCTTGAGTGTTCTTGGTATTTTATTTTGACTACTGTCAGAATGTTTTAACTGTATTCAAATTTCCCAGGTTCCTCATAATAATATAGTAATAACCCACGGGTGTAGGTACATTTGTTAATCCACGAAGAAGTTGACAAAGACAGCTGAATATTGTACAGTTACAAAATGTATAGGTACCGCACCAAAGAAGTTAACCTCCTCGTTGGCCTCTTACAAACAATGTAGTAGCGTGCATGAGGTCGAGTGTTCTATCCCAAGCCGGTCTAAACAATGACCTAAAAGTTGATATTTGCTGCTTCTCTGCTAAACAAGCGGTATTTACGAGTAAGAGTAAATTTAAAGACTGGTCGGCTCGGAGTCAGAAGAATGTGTCCGAGCAGGGTGACAAGTCCTCATGTGGAATGTTACCCAGTGAACAAGCACGTTAACATCCGGGTCAACGTGTCGTTTAAGTACCAGACAGGCTTAATATTTACTACATATTAACATCTCCCGTCCTGGATATGCATTTAATTTGCAACAGGACGTTACACAGCCATCTTTCACCATCATCAAAGAGAGTTAGTTTTTTTTTGAGTCAACTATATTTACAAAACGTATAGGGTGTTTTGGCCAAATAGTGCTTGAACTGATCTACTATTAGTTTGGTGATCGCTGTAAAAAATAATTGAAAAAAGTTTGAATGTTTGATGAGTCAAATTTTGCTGTCATTTCTAATAATTATAAGACATGCCGAGATGAACACATTTCCAATTCATTTATCATTTATCATTTGACACATGGAAAAAGGAACACATTAATTTATCTTAATTATGATCCATAGCAACATGATAACATTTCGCATTGATTTATCATATGACACACGCAAAATGAACACATTTCCCATTCAATTCCAATTTATTGACAAAAAAACAAGTTTTGAAATTAAAACTAAATCAATTATTTTGCGTGCCTTAAGGCATTCCGAACAAAGAACAAATTAGAATACTCCGTAGTATCAAATTGAGTATTTTCATTATAACCATCAACAGTTCTGTTATAAATTAGTTCTTCCAAACAATCAAAGGTGTAGTGATCATTATCCCAGATTAATTTGTTTACAAACATTTCTGGCCTTCTCGCTAAAACTTGTAGGTCTTTAACACTAGCTATACATATTCCATGTTGTTCCTGTCCAGTACAGCCTGTGGAATACCACTTCTTATACCGCGCTACATCACCTTTTTTTAAATTGTTTTTCTTCTTTAAATCACCTGAAATAATTTAAATAAACAAACGATTAACATGGTAGAACATGACAGTATTACAAAAAGCGATTCATTTTAATTCTATCAAGCTTCAAGAGTGAAGGGAATGTCTGTCGGAAAGATACAAAAGGGACATTCAAACTCATAAGTCAAAAAAAAAAAAAAAAACTGACAATGTGATGGCAAAAAAAAAACCGCACAAAAGACAAACCACTATTTATAAGACACAACATAGAATAAATTGTGTACTAAAGATTGAGCAACCCGAACACCACCAAAACTTGTAATGGTAAGCAGATACTGCACCACAAGTGAAACTCGTCGTGTTGCTCATGTAATTACAAACCCGGTGAAAAGTCTAATTCGGTAGGTCACATTCGAGTGTCCCAGTACAAATGTCGTAATTTGTAAAGAAATACATATCAAGTCCTCACGATTTCGAGATTCATATACAATTGTATAAACATCTGTCTATTGTTGAAGACTGTATGTTGACCTCTAGCTGTCTGTTTTCTATTTGTTTCGTTGGATTGCTGTATATCTCCTCCTAATTAAACTAAATTAGATATTAATTCATTATTTTTATTTAATACAATATTTCTTGGTCATTATACGACTGTTCTGCTTATGGTGTTTTTAATTTGTTAAAATTGGGCTTTCAACAAGCTCTCAGTAACTGCCAGTACTAGTACTCTTAAATCGGTATTTTTGTTTTTCGTCGTAATATTAGTTGCTTTCCTTTACTTTATACAGATCTAATGATCACCTTTTCACCTGACTTATGTAGTTTGTTCTATTTATGTTTTGTTGTATACTGTTACATTAAAGTTCCAGATTAGGGACGGGTTGATTAGGGACGGGTTGATTAGGGACGGATTGAGCGCATACAATTTTATCTCCTTTGAGTGGTTCCAAATTTTGTCATGCCCAAAACTTATTATACGGTTTATGTTTTTGTTCATTGTTGAAAACCGTATGGTGACCTGTAGTTGTCCATATCTTTGTCCTTAATAGTTTGCAGATAGTTGTCTCATTAGCAATTATACCGCATCTTCTTATTTTTATTTAGCACGGAAGAACCATGTGTCAATAAACAAGTGTCGATACTGGCTTGCTATACGGAATACGTTCAACAAATATTTTTTTCTTATTCATAAATTATGAACTGTTATATCAAAACTGATATATCTCCTTTGGTGTAGGTGTCTCGAAAATTGTAGATTTTCATCTTTGGTAAGATTTAATTTTTCCTACATTCAATAATCATCGTTGTCTTTTTTTAGTTTGATAGACTTTCTGTTATGATTTATAATTTTACTTTTGAAAATTAGTTGGCTCAGAGCTTACCATCCTATTTTGTTATGTAATAGTCGTGAAAACAAATTTATTCATTTGTGAAATACACCTTCAGGATGTTCGCTCCTCTGTTTCAAAATAACAAGCTTTTTAAAACATTGTTATAAATTGATAGTATATAAATGAAGGAACTAAAAAAACAGAAAAAAATGAAGGGTCCGTGTGCTTGTTTTCGCGATATAAGCCATTGAAAATTTGGCGGGAAATGATTCTTTCTAGATTTTTCATACTTTTAACATTGGCCGCTTTTTTGTTTCAAAAACTATGAAAATATAACAAGGATATTATAAGATTTTCAAATATGGCTTTTTAAACTAAATGTAATAAAATTATGAAAAGAAAAGTAGGGGTTAGTGGGTAAAATGCTTTAATGGTAATACATGGATAAAACCAGAGGATTCCAAAAATCTGGCAAAAAATCAAAAACAAGAGGAGCAAACATCCTTAAATAATCGTATAAAGTGATATGTTGTTGATAAATAGATGAGAAAATATGGTATGATTGCCAATGAGAAAAATCTTCACCAGAGACCAAATGACGTAGACATTACAAATATAGGTCAACGCAAAGCCTTCAACAATGAGTTAAATCCACACCGCATAGTAAGCCTAGCTATAAAAGGTCCCGAAATGACAAATGTAAAACAATTCAAACTAGAAATCTTAAGCTTGTTTTTAATGTTTTTTTTCTTTGTTTTTATCATCTATGTTTGATACATAAAACAAATAAAGTTATTGACCCTGTATTTCATATAAACTGTTTAACAAGACTTTTTATATGGATAATGAAATACCATTTTCAAATTAATACAAGAAAAGAACCGGGGGTCTGTTTATCGAAGCTGACCTAGGATTTGTCCTAAGACCTCTCTTAGGAATAGATTAGGATAATGTTAGGGCCGACTTACGAAATGTCTCAACATGCACATCGAAGCTATCTTAGGACTATCTTAGCTAGGATGTCATAACCGCTGTCCTAAGTGTTAGCGTAAAGAAAAATTAGGAATCTAAAAATTTTAAATGTTTAAAAATGCATTGAACTTCACCAGTAGTAAATAATTGCAAGATTAAAAATTAGAAATATTATTAGTATTATCATAAATAAAATTAATAATATTTATCTAATAATGGTACATTCAAACTTTATGAAACAAAAACAAAAACACAAAAAATAGGACAAAGTTTTATATAATGATTGAACAAATTATTTGTAAACAGCAGTAAAATTGAAAACTAATAAAAGACAATCTGTAACAATCATTATATATTTTTGAGTGAGTTTAATTCGAAGTGTCACGGTTTTATACTTTACAGAGTTCAAAGGCAAATCTCGTGCATCTTTCATAAAAATACGGAAGACATAAATTATTTCATTACGGATCACATGCGCTTGGGTAATGGACCCTCTTTTTCTGAAATTTTTTTCAAAGTAAATACTAGTATTCTTTAATATTTTAACCTATGTCAATTTATTTTATGTTTTATATATCTAATATACGATGCCCCTCTATTCTTTTTTTCCACGTGGAAAATATGAATAGAAGAGTGTCCCGTATATACTACTGTTTTGTATTATCTTTTGGATAAAAGCAAAAACACATTAAATTAGTGAAAATAGAAAAAAAAAAATTTAGTAAAAGGGGATCCATATATAGGTGGCGGTCGTATTTATTTACAAATTAACCATCATAAAATATATCCAAAAGTTATAGGACCATTTTAAGACCATCTTAAGACACCTACTTAGGTGTCCTAAAGTTAGGACGATTCTTATGACTTTTCTTAAGTTAGGACATGTTTGATAAACGCGCTTAGGACAAAGATTCGCCCTAATATGATCTTAGAACATGTCCTAGTCCTAAGAGCGCTTCGATAAACAGGCCCCGGATTCATTTTAATATTAACGATCTGATCTGAACATAATATAAGTAAATATCGGAAATCGAATACGTTCACGCGTTGTGCCAATGAGAAAATTCTTCACCAGAGACCAAATGACGCATATATTACAAATATAGGTCAACGCAAAGCCTTCAACAATGAGCAAAATCCACACCGCATAGTAAGCCTAGCTATAAAAGGTCCCGAAATGACAAATGTAAAACAATTCAAACTAGAAATCTTAAGCTTGTTTTTAAACTTTTTTTTTCTTTGTTTTTATCATCTATGTTTGATACATTAAACAAATAAATTTATTGACCCTGTATTTCATATAAACTGTTTAACAAGACTTTTTATATGGATAATGAAATACCATTTTCAAATTAATACAAGAAAAGAACCGGGGGCCTGTTTATCGAAGCTGACCTAGGATTTTTCCTAAGACCTCTCTTAGGAATAGATTAGGATAATGTTAGGACCGACTTACGACATGTCTCAACATGCACATCGAAGCTATCTTAGGACTATCTTAGCTAGGATGAATTTTCAAAAATGTGTATATAGATATAATCAATTTTCAACCATTTAAAATCTTTGTACATACCTGCATATGATCCCGGAATACCTAGATGTGGGTTGTGATTTAACGTTGTAAAAAATATTTCATCCGGAATATCTGTGCGTTTTAGCCAATTCATCAATCTCAATGAAGTTGCGTTTCTTATAACGAACTCTGCAAAATTTCTGTTCACTGCAACATGTACAGAACCTTTGTACGGTGTAAGTTTGTCCGGAACAGGTCCTGCCTTTTCCCATCTTTGTTCCCAATTTAATCTAAAATAATCAGAAATGATATTTTTATATCATCGAAAGAGAACGACGCGTTTTATAATTTATATTCACAAGTTTTACCCCCGTCTCTGTCCAAATTCAGGAGCCTTAATACAGTGGTCGTCGTTAGTTTCCGTCTGCCTCGATTGTTTTTCGTTTGATATTCTAGCATATATCAGCTGTTAAGCTGTTGGTCTTCTCTTTTGAATTATTTCACATTTAATCATACTGGAGCCTTTTATAGCGTACTGTGCTATACGGTATTGGTTTTGTCTATTAGTTCATTCACTAGGATTGTCAGTTTTCCTACCGAATGTCGGTTGTTCTTTGCTGGCACCCGGGCTGCCTCTGACATTAAAAACTGACCACCATGATATTGTCAATAGTGCTGAAAGTGGATTAAACACCATAGTTCAACCAATCGTACAGTAGACTTTAAGTGTAAAAAATAAAACGAGATTCAAACATATGTAAAATGTGTATATACCATAGATAAGAAGCATGTTAAAACAAATGATCTCAAGCAACATAACGGTTTCTGTCTCACGAAGCAAACAACTGTTTACTGTTCCGGGTCACCTGTGTTCACCCCTAGTGTTTGATGTTCGCTTAATATCATTCGTGTTACTCAATTTTATGTTTTTTTTCAGTAAAATTGAAAATGGAAACAGGAAATGTGTCAAAGAGGAAACAACCCGACTAAAGAGCAGAAAACAACACAAGAACACCAATGGGTCTTCAACACAGCGAGTAAATCCCGCACCCGGTGGCAGGCTTCAGCTGGCCCCTCAACAAAAATGTTTCCTAGTTCAGCAAAAATGGACGTCACACTAAACTCCGAAACATATAAATGAACCAGAATGAAAAAAAAAACATACAAGACTAACATAGGCCAGAGGCTCCTGACTAGGGACAGGCGCAAAATGCAGCGGGGTTAATAGATATAAGAAGATGTGGTATAAGTGCCAATGAGACAACTCTCCATTCAAGTCAAAATTTATAAAAGTAAACCATTATAGGTCAAAGTACGGTCTTCAAAACGGAGCCTTGGCTCACACCGAACAGTAAGCTATAAAGGGCCCCAAAAAATTACTAGTGTCAAACCATTCAAACGGGAAAACCAACGGTCTAATCTATATAAAAAACGAGAAACGAGAAACACTTATGAACCACATCAACAAACGACGTGTACAGTTCCAATAGAGAAAGGAACTATTTTTACAAAATAAATAATTTTGATGTTCATAGTACGAAGTGAAAATTTATAGTAATACCAAACACTTATCAAAGCTGGTATATAGACCAGATATAACCCTGAATAACATTAAATAACAAAAAAGCATTACAATGAGAATCAACAGGTCAAATAAACAAGAAAGCACGATTTGAGAGTACTCGCAGTTACTGACAGCTAGTTAAAAGCCAAAACAATTAATAATAAAAAATCATGCATCAGAGACTAAAATCAACTAAAACACATCCCAGGGAATTAGTATTTTAACGTCATGGACAGTCAAAGAAGACATGACTTGTGCAATGCCAAAAATAAATGTATCGACAGACAGTAGGATAGTTAGGAGTTTAACCTCTTTATAGATCAAAATGAACGTGGGTGTGTCTTTATACATCCCGTTTGAAAAGAATACAAATTTAGTTATGTTTTAATTTGCTGATGACAAAATCGATATTAGTGTCAATGTTAACTATATTCAAAGATCTAATTACAACATTGGTAAGATAACCTTTACTAATAAGTTTGTTTAAAGGTTCGATGAGTTTACACGGACCACATAGTGATTTCCGCGCTTTAAGTACAATATTACCGTAAAATTTAGGATGTGAAATACCGTTTTTAATCAGTTTTCTACAGGTACAGCCAAATTTACTAATCAAATCTTTGTATTTATGAAAGAACTTAGCAAAAGTTTTACGTAATTTATGGTAACGAAATCCCTGACTTAATAATTTACCAGTGATGCATTGATTACGTTCGTTAAAATCTATGACATCACTACACACACGGGCATAACGAACGAGTTGGGATATAAACATCGTATGATGGAACCAAAGGAACATCGCCGTCTAAAAAAGAAAAATTAACAATAAGGAATGAAAATCGTCTCTTTTGTCGTAAATTTTCGTATGGAGTTTTCCTTTAGAGATTGAAATGTCCAAATCCAGAAAAGGACAACTACTGCTGTTTATGTTATATTTAGTTAAAGTTAGCTCTATTGGGTAAATTTCGGTAGTATATTTAGAGAAATCTGGATTATTTAACGAAAAAATATCATCTAGACAAAACATGTTTTGTGAGGTCTCAAACTTACCCCTATAAAAGAAGTCCGAGTTCGATTTTAGAATAAGTAACAGAAGAAACTTTGCAAACTGACAATTATACACAAAATAACAAAGGACTACTAGCAGTTGTGTTTGTGATTTTTTTCTGGCTTCGTCATCTTTTTCTGCAACTGATGGTCTAGCATTTCCTATTGGTTTCTTTGTTAGTATTTTTAGTTATTTATGTATCATTTGACTTTTAGAAATGTTATGCGTTCAGGTTTTTTGATTATTTAATCTGTTCACTACTTGTTCTGTCTCGACATGATTAAGAGCTTGAACTATATTGTATAGACACTTGTCTTCTGTCAAAGACCGTAAGTTGACCGCTAAATTTCTTGTTGGGTAGCTGTCTCATTGTATCGATCTTCTTTAACTGATATAGACTACCAACATATTTGGTATCAGTACTAGCTCTGTATAGACTTATTATATTATCTTGCAAGTACCAAAACAAAAATACTATTGAATACATACTTTGTTTCAATGTGCACATCGTTAGCACCGTTAAAAGATTTTAAGATCTTGACGATTTCCCGGTTAGTCTTCAATGGAAACTCTTGTCCGGTCAAATTTATAAAGTATTTCCACTTGTACTTTAATAGATTAGTCATGCAGGTTAAATCTGCTGCAAGAACAGAAAATGTTCCCCATGCCACGTTATAAGCTTTGGAGGAGAAAAACACATTATCGAAACAGCTGATTATATACCGAACGGCATCATAGTCGACATCGGACATCTTCATATCGGCATGTATGCAGTAAAAATTCTGAGGTCTATAAATAGATCGCAGCAAACGTTCAAACTGATAGACAGACTTATAAACAAGGATACTATATGCCAAAGGGAATTCTTTTTCTTCCTTGGACAAGGAATCTGTGATATATTCTCGGGTATTTATAAAGTCATCACAATTTTCCGTTTTTCTGATGTAATAGGACGGACTTAAAACTGATAGGTAGTCATTTCCTAGGTCGGCAGATTTCGTAATTTCTCTTTTACTTCCACGGACGATTTTCGCACAGCTAACAGATTTGACGAATCTTTTCTTTGACAAAATATAGTTTTCTGGCTCGTCCTTGTTTTCTATTTTGGCATGAATTCGCTCCCATGGTGCAGCTTGGTAATATTTTGCTTGGTATTTTTCCGTTATGTTCTTTTTTTCCTTGAATTTTAAATGAACATCTGCGTATTTATTTTTTTCTGTCACTTTATTTGAACTGATTTTAGAAATTTTATAACTTGTTTTTGTTTGATTTCTTAAATATTGTCTTTGTTGTTCAAATATTTCAACAGGTCTTTCTGGGTCTTGTGAATTGTATATTTGAATGCGAGTCACAAGCGTTTCCCATCTAACAACAAAAGTCGTCAAAATAAAACACAGTAAAACAAAACTGGCGTATTTAGTAGATATCGTGTGTCTTAAACAAAAATCAGCCTGTAAATAAAAAAAAAATATGCATTAATTAATTAATCATTTCATTATTGTAGGAGAAAAAAAAAACAGATGATTAAGTTTGGGCAATGCAGTGCATGTTTTTTTTTTTAACTCTGGTAATTAATTTGAAAGAACAATATATGTACATTTTTTTTTATATTTATAGATTCTACAACTGCATAAAGATGGACGCTTCTTCTCTCGAGACGGTTTGATTTTCAAATTAAAAAATCGAGGCTTGGCGAATGTTTAAAAAATCAATATGTAACTGTCTATGATGGAGAATTACCGTATCGCACGAAATTCAATGGAATATGTTTCTCTTATGGTTTATCATCTTAATATTTGTTTGACGATATGGAGCCAAAATCTTCAAATTTCAATAATATTCAAAACAATAAATATGTTCCTTGCATATGACATCATCAGATACAAGACATATACACTTATTTATCCATAGAACAATCCAATTATGACGAAATCAGAGGTCTATATTTTAATAAGATTGTCCATAGAAATAAATAAATTTTCTTCTAAGTATAGGAATAAAATCTGAGCTTAGTGCGTCAAATCTAGGGAAGATAATTGATTTAGAAGAAGTTGGTATAATGTCAAAAAGTAAGTGGTTGAGTTTAATACATTAAAAATCAAATTTAACAATCACTTCGTGTCATCTCTTCTTAATCCATTTAAATCCACTACCGTGACGTTTATAATAACTATTAATCTTATCTTTATGTGTTAAATTAAACTTTGTGGAAATATCTATTAATTTTCCTTTTAAATCAAGCTATCAATTATCACTTGGTAAATCTTATAAAATTTCAGACCGTAAAAAGAAAACGCATTATGTATGATCAATCAGTTTAATGGTTGGAAGAAAAAAAAAGATGTTAATGATTATAGTAATTAACTTCGTCGTTGACAAGAGATCGAGCCTCTGAAGCGAGATGATTTTGAATTTGAATTTTGTGTTGTTGGGGGCTTTTATTTACAGTTAACCCAGAAAACAACGTAATTAATATAATATGCTTAGATGAGACAGAAGGAACATCGCATATATACATTATGGATTCCATACTTGTAGAAATCCTACAACACGTTTAAGAAACGTTTACGTCTGTCTGCATTAAATGAAGTGGATGTAAACAATTAAAGGCAACCGTATGGCCTTCAACAATGAGAAAAACCCATACCGTATAGTCGGTAATTTATAACAAAACAATTCACAAAAAACAAAATGACAGACATGAACCAACGACATCCACTGAACTACAGGTTCCTGACTTGGGACAGGCACATATAAAATGTGGCGGGGTTAAACATGTTTTGAGGTACAACCATCCCCCTAACCTGAGACACTGATGTAATGGCACAACACAAGAACACATTTTACAAAATAACAAGTATGAGAAAAAGCAATAAATCACAACCACTCAATTACAGGCTTCTGACTTGGGACAGGTACATATAGCATGCGACAGGCACATATAGCATGCGACAGGGTTTAACATCTTTGAAGGCGCCAACCATCCCCTACCTGGGACAGTGGTGTAACAGTACAACATACGAACAAACTATAATCAAAGTACTGAAGTACTGAACATCGGATGACCGCAAGTTCTTGTGGATGGTCAAAAGCACTTGTCTCAGAAAAAAATCACATCTCTATACCTAAAACTGAGGTTAATGTACAGATATATATTTTTTCTGAGACAAGTTCGTGCGTGGATGATGAATAAATGACAGGAAATTTAACCTCACCGTAATAACTATTATATTGTAGTGATACAAATCAGTATACACTGGTTTGTTGTTATATATTATATCAATATAATAGTTACATATATATATAATTTTCATCCATTTGTACATATTTCTATTATACTATTCTAATAATTGTGCAGTGCAAGTGCATGGTGGACACTCTTCTGTAAAAATTCGATTTTTCTAAAAGATCGGATATGAGTAGGCATTCATATTTTCCCGCAAAAAAAACCTTCCATACAGAGTTACCGGTCCTTGCGGGGATTGCCGCAAAACGTTCTTGAGATATTCTTTCGCATGCGTTAACACAATTTTTCGGTACGTGTGCATAGATATTATCAATGATGTTTTACTTATACATATATATCTAACGACAAAACATTTTCATATTATTAATTTATGTTCTAAACAAAAATATTTTTATCAGTATTCATTGATGAGATGTATTTAGTACAAACGATAAGGAATGTTACTTTTGCACTCCTTAATGTATGCGTATTTATCATGTTTATAGATCGGTTACAAACCCAAAACGAAAGTTACGTAATGGAAATCTAGGCGTTAGCAATACATCGGATTGCCCTCACGGTCATCGCGTTGTAAAAATCAGTTGAAAAGGGCTTAACTCATCAGATCGATACATAGCAGAAAAATGCAGACCGGACGTGGCAGGGTATTTATACATCCCTTAAAACAAAAAAGACACAAAGACTAAAATATCAATCAAAACACATCCAACATTCAATGGATTTAGTGTAAAGACGTCATTAACAATTGATGAGAAAAACACGACCTTGTGCAATGCCAAAATATAGATATTGACGGATTGTAGCGCCGTGAATGTGCATATGTGTAAAACAATAATATTTAGTATAGTTTTAATCTACTGATAACAATATTAATCTTTTATACTTATAGAAACAATATTCAAAGATCTAATTGCAGTGTTGAATTCGTAAACTTTGATAATAAGTTTATTTAAAGGATTGATAAGTTTACCTGGATCGTATCTAAATTTCTGGGCTTCTTTTTATATTGACAGAGAACCACAAAAACTATACATGATTCCTAGTACGGTTTGTGAGCATATCTATCGTTATTACATGTAAAGTTCAAGGGTCAATACAATCGACAATAGTAAATCAGTGGCGGATCCACTGACTGACCTAAAAGAGGGGGGGGGAGGGGGGGGGTCTCCAGTCATGCTTCAGTGATCCCCTATATAATCGACCAAATTTTTCCCACAAAAGGGGGGAGGGCCGGGCCCCTCAGCCCCCCACCCCCCTGGATCCGCCTATGCAAATCGGGAAAATGCAACCACATAACTGAAAACAGACTTTAATACAGACATTCAGCAGAGAAAATTGTGTGGCAAAAATCCCCAATTATGTCAGAGATTATTTATATTGTTCCGATGTTCTGTCTGTTTGCTGTTTATTTCACATACGATTGCAAGTATTTTAAGCATATATATGTGACTGTTCTACAATGCAAGGTTTGAAATACAAAGGGCGTGCGGTAATCTACGTTACGGCTCTTTTCGGTAAACATCGGAAATATATCCCAACAGTATTTTCATTGTCAACATACAAACAAAATCCTCATTATATAATGTTAAATGCTAACATAGATATTGTCATCATTTATAATGGTTCGGTACATTAAGTAAAAGCTTAAATTACGCGTAAAATTTCATTGTAGTAGTAGATAGTTTAAAATAACACTGTATATACAAAATACTTCAGAAATACACAGAAACTATTCGATAGGTGTATAGAACGGAAGCATGATATACAATAAGAAAGCTTATCAATCGAATTTAGTACTCACCAAAGCGAACTTTCGTGATCTCATTGTGATATTTTGTATTAGAATGGAGGATCATAGCCCGTCATCTTTGAACAACTGGACACATATTAAAGACTTTTTGTAATGATGTTTTCTTTATGTAAACAATTTACGATCACTTTTTAAACCGTCATGATTTCACTATAAATAGTTACACAATTTTGTGGACATTTAAAATTCCATTGTTCCCTAGGCCATGTTTTTCATTCATGACATTTAAACAGTTATTTTAATTTATCGAACATACATTTTTTTAAATTAAATGAATGAATATCAAATAATCCAAATATAACAATATTCACGTATACCCCTGTAAAGGTTAAAACTTATAGAATAAGAAAACCATTGTTAATGTCAAAAGCTGATTTAGGTGGTGGTGGTGGTGGTGGTGGTGGTGGTGGTGGGGGGGGGGGGGGGGGGGGGGGGGGGGGCTTATGGAGCTGCATTTATGGTTAATCAAGACTTTTTACCTGTTCTATTACAAATTTGTCTTGTTTGAGGGCCCTGTGCCCCCCCCCCCCCCACCCCCCCCCTTTTTCAATATCCTGGATCCGCATCTGAATGTTCACGGATAAGTAAAAAGGAAGTGAACATTTGACGTGAAGGTAACTATTATTCCCATGTCTATAGATACATGTATGTAAAACAATAAATAATTTACACAAAACAATTTAAGATGTTATTACGTATAAGTTGAGACTAAGATAGATAAATCAAAGCAAGTGTATATTTTAAGTTTCTTATAAAATATTAAAATACGATTTGGATTTAGGGAGGGGATTGCTTCTTTAATTTTCAGGCCATTTTTCTCTTTTCATTATTCTCTATTTTTTTGTGTTTTGTCCACTATTTACCAATCTATAAACTCTCATCCAGATCCTTCTATGTTTTGTCCACGATTTTCTGTTATATGAATTCCCATTCTGGCCCTTCTATGTTTTGTCCACTATTTTCTATTATATGAATTCCCATTCAGACCCTTCTATGTTTTGGCAATATCTATTGGTCTAATTGATCAAATAGAAATCTTCATGATAAATATCAATAATTTCGTCTATCCTTTTGTATAAGGTTTATCTATAATGTACAAATTGGTCAAATTACAAGATTAGAAATACAACATGTTTTAACAAATTTCTTTAAAAGACCGAAAACAAACGATTTTTTTTTCACACACAGATATAAACAAGACTAAAAAGATACATAAAATGAAAACATTTAATTTAATGTGGATTCTATGATATATCACGTAGTACAAGCTAAGTAAGAACGTAATTAAATAAATGGATAATATTGATTCTTTAGATCAATTCTAGATTTATAGCCATTTAAAAGTTTAAGTAAAAGATAATATTCGCTGTGGTAGTCCTCTTTTTATTTCTTTAATTGTAAAAACAATTAAACTTATATTGATAACAAAATTAACGAAATAAGAATTACACAAACTGGATTATATGCCGTTTTCGTATTGAACCATGGAAAAAATGATATATATGTACAACAAAATAAAAACGAACTGCAGAAGCATAACAACTATTAGTAAATAAAAACAAACGATTACCTATGCAAACAAAAAAAAGGCAGCAATGCGATAGTATATTATAATTATAAATAATTAAACGATTACTCGCTATTGCTGATCAACTATTGACATTTTGCGATAGTTGCTTCCACGTCACACCCTAACTTATGTATGCGTCATAAGCATTTAAGTATTTGCATAAAGCTCACATCTCAGGGCAAGTAACCATGTGGATTCATAGCTATCCGTTGCTGTCTGACTTATTTGTTTTTCGTTTGTTGTTTTATCATTAACATGTCGGTTCCAGCTTACTATACGGTATTGGTTTTGCTCATTGTTAAAGTCGGGGTCGCCCCGATATTTCGACTCCCCACTAGTCCGACGCCCCAATAGGTCCGACACCCTATTAGTCCGACACCCCGATAGTCCGAAAAAGGAAGGAATATTATTGCCGTAAAAGAAATCTATTTCATGGAATCGTTATTGGCGTGATATTTGAACTACTCTCTTTTATAAGAGTGTCAAAGAAACTGAAACAGATAATACCATACCACCCATCTTGTATTTAAGAAATACCATGACCATGTACATATAAAGCAATCGAGAAGCATGCAAGTTTTGGCTAACTAATACACGGTGTGTTCTATAGGAAAGTACATCCCACTAAAAAGAAAATGTTAAGAACAGTCCTCAGTAACATGAGTAATGCAGTCTCTCATCGTTCGCGTAAGCCAGTTTAGGTAACTAACAAGACAAAAAAAGTATCATTTTACCATGCGAAGAGAATATTTTTTTCAAGCATGATGATTTCTTTTCATCTACACTATATACGAACTAATAGATCGAAAACTTTCAAAACTGAAAGTTGACGAGTTGTTTATTGATAATATAATCGAAAAATTAATGAGTTTATGAAAGTTTGTTAAAAAATCGATAGTAAGATTGTTCAATCAATGACAATTGTTTCTATATATGAAGACTTTATTGAGGTTGAAACCTCGACAAAAGGGATGAAATTTGCTGTCAGAATGAACTTGTATTAAATACATGAAACTTTGCCACCGGACATTACACAGAAAAAAAATCAATCATGTACGAGTAGCCATGAAAATGTACTTTTTATATCATCGATTAGATTTGTAATTGTATATTCATAAAACAACAATTTCTTTTTCTGTACATTGTTATTTCCATTCGTGTTTTATTTATCCTCTTAAAAAACTAATCGGTTGTCTTTTCTTTCCACTTTACAAATAATCGATCACCGGGCGATATTTTAATCGATTGTACAGCACAAGCAAACACGTTACGTGAAAATAACTCTAACAATACACACACACTTCTCAGACATTGACACAGGAATGCAATGGGAGTTAGGAATCAAGAAAACCTCAGGTATAACAAATTTTAACAAAAACAAGATTTTTCATGTACCAATATATTATGAATCTTTTTATAAAAGGTGGGAAAACATGAACCCTTCCTTGCCCACCTATACGACCAGATTATCATGTATCTGTGCTTTGCTTTATCACAAAGTTAAATTTGAAAAAAAAACTTTGACCAGCGTATTATAAGGAACATTTTGTTTTATTTCTTGACAAAAAGATTGTTTTTTCATGTCAGACCTGTTTGGGTCCAGTCCTGTACAAATCACTTCAAATTTTTGATAAATTTTGCCTTATATATATGTTTTTAAAACAGTCCTTTTAATTTGATTAATTACATTTTATTCCCCAAAAATGTCTATTAACAGTCATTATCGATATTATCTTTTAGTTGATATAAGTGTTTTTTTCTGAATTTGAAACTGACTTAATTTCTTACTGATTCTCTCCAAATAATCACAGGTTTTGTTCGGATTGATATTTAGTTAAATAACCATTTCTTCGTATACGACTTTAATACTATACAAGAAAATATGAGATTTAGTAGTGGCGGTTTAACGTCAACCATCAAATATTTCACTTATATTCAGGGCAACAACACATTGACACAAAGACACCTTTAGGTCCGAGATTGGTCTAACGGCCCAGCAAATCTAAAAAGGCCGTCAGATGTCAGAGCAATCTCGGACTAGAAGATATCCTGCCTTAAACAGACCGACACGCTTAGTCGGATATTAATTAAAGTGCATTTTACCTGGGACTATACTACAAAAGAGTTAGCCTTTGCATCGTTTTCTATTAGTTTTTTTTCTAAACTCTGGTCTAGGTTCATAAATATCAAATATGGCATACTGACATGTTCCTATGACATATACAGTCACTAGAAAAATACATAGAGGTTGGTCCGATAGGATCAGAAGTGGTTTATTGCATAGCAACATACGGATTTCATACAAAACTCCATAAAGGAGATCTCCCCGTTTGTTAGATGATGAAATTATTCATTTGATTACCCAGTTTAATTGTTATTTTCATTATTACAATTAACTAGCTCGTATATTGTTGCTGTGAACTCGTATAGTCAAAGCAGATTCCTTACGGAGAACGCGTCAAACTTTACAGAGTTCTATTTGGAAGGCATTAGAGACTTAACTTTCTTAATTCGCTGCTTTGGGAGAGAAACACAGTTACGAATCTGCATGCAAGTAATTTGACAAAACTTCAAAAAATATACTAGTATCTCAATTTGACGAAATGTTCACTGTAGTTAAGAGATTGATAGTGCTCGTTTTAATTTCACGCAAGACAACGAGGTAAGCGTCTCGATCATTCTGTATGTTGATTGGTGAATATTTTCCAATATTTTAACAAATACATGTCAACCAACCTAGTTTGATAACTTGGACCAGTCGATGGACAAGGTGTTCGGTTCTAAACACAATTGTGATATTAGATAAACACGTCGGCTGTCTAAAATAACAATATATTTACTATCTTTTAATTATTCGGTGTCGGACTATTAGGGTGTCAGACTATTGGGGCGTCGGACCAATTGTGTGACAGACTAATGGGGTGTCGGACCAATGGGGTGTCGGAATATCGGTGCTGTCCCGTTAAAGTCCAAACGTTTACCTATACAGTTTTCCTGCACGTTATTTGGTGTCTGATATATAGTTGTCTCATTGCCATTCAAACCACATCTAAATTTCATACCTAATGTATAAAAGATACACAGTGACAAACTAACGAGGGTCTAAAGAATACAGAATATTGGGCAAAAACTATAGAAAAGAGAAAAACAAACAAACAAACAAAACATAGTGAATAATGTTCAAAAGTGACCGAACAACACTAATAATTCAATTTTTCACTACGTGCCTTCATGATTTAATGTGCTGTTTGGCCTCATGTTGAATATTTCTCAATATTATTTATTAAAACGCAACAATCCTTATGTTATGTGTATAGATATAGGAAGATGTGGTATGAGTGCCAATGAGACAACTCTCCATCCAAGTTACAATTTATAAAAGTAAACCATTATAGGTCAAGGTACTATATATCTTCTGCCAATTACGGCACACCTCCAGTACTTGATGTAATGACTCCTCGCCAATAGCATAATAGAATATTCCTACACAGTAAAATTCATTTAAAATATACAGTATAAGAATCAATCATCCACAATAAGATAAGTTTTTATTTTTTTACATTGGATTGTTTTTAACTGCTATAAAGTGAGCA